TATATATATATATATATATATTGCAAAAAGCACGAAGTACACCGTACCTTCCGAAATATGGGGCTTGTCCTTTCCCTTGGGTCTAAAAGCCTCACTGGAAAATAAAAGCTCTGATTAAACACCGGGCGGAGCGTATTTTCCCGTCTCGCCCCTGAGTTGACCATCCCATCCCACTTTACCTAAATGGCACTCAGGCAGCACAGCAGGTGGACAGCATATGCTTCGTACAAAGTGGCTCTAATGGTACAGGCTGCAGGAACTAGCAAGTGGAAAACAAGACAACCGAGGGCTTGCCTAGCATACCTTCACCATCGGGTTAGAACTGAACGAATCAGCATTGGCGACAGGAAGGTTTTCACACTTAAAAACTCTGTCGAAAGCGAGCGAACACACATGGACAGCAGTCAGACAGGTGGACAGAACGCCAAACGAGCACTAGCTTACAGACACAAGCCAGATGGACAGGCAGAGAGTGAGTATAGGAGGAAGAGGGCGAAACACAGCAAACAAGCGTGGGACAAGAGACAAAAACAGAATAAAGCACGAGTTCTAGGTTTCAGCCCATTAGGTAAAGAGCTGAGAATCCGAAAAAACCAATGGCGGTTGAGACCTCACCTCACGACAAGATACTGTTCTTTTAGGTTTAGCTGCGTTACAAGCGCAGTGCCTGCAACGGTCTGCATTGGTCGGAAAGGGACGTTCTCATAACCCAAAACTCCGACAGACCTCACGAAGCATCGAATATTGCCAATAATTTCCCCTTGTTGAAATTTGCTGGGGTTCGTAGTAAGTTTCTTGACGACTCCTCTGGATGCAAATCAATCAGCCCAAGACCAAACAACATATGCACGTAAGGAGAACTCACCTTGTCACTGTCCTCAACACGGAAATGGTCACCTCAGAATTCCTCAAAGGGCGGCTGACAACCTATGTATGTTGCACTCACCACCAGCGGCATGCTGACAGCCCGCGGTAGCGAAGAGACTTACCTGAATAATGGGTACGTCGTAACAGACTTCAGTGACATGATGCAGACGCCGAGTTGTAGCGGAGGGCGATACCACTGGCGTTCGAACTGACAAGCCACCTGTTGGCGCACGCATCTGTCCGCAAGACATGCATGCCGTCCTAACCTGCAGTACCCAAGGGTGCAGTGATTCCTCAGCAGAGGCGAAGATACAGGTATGGCTACATCTGTGGCTATGTTTTTCCTGAGGAACTAAAAGATCTTCTTGCCACCTCACCGTAACAACAATGTACTGATTACTAAGCGATGGAAGTGTGCCGCGAAAAGAAAAGAATCCAGCGTATGACCAGTAGTTGTTCTTGCTGGTATGCGTCCTGGCTACCGAACGCTGCGCTGACCTGAAACAGCAGTAGACACTCAAGCTAACTCAACCCATCAGCATGGCACGTATGGAGGGTCAAAATAACTGAGTGCGTAACGGTAAATGCTACAGTATCTCAGCTTAGGCAAATGACATTAGAAGAATCAGCCCACTACTCAAGTGCCAATTCAGCAATGCAAAAGAATGCGCGTGAAATACGTTGATAATCCTTACCTTCCCTGAACGGGAACATTGAGAGAGAGTGCCTTAGCATGCTGTTGAAGCTTCGGCGGCATTTTCTTGTCCGGCAGAAACCACCAACTGTCGAAAACCATGTCAATGTCAAACACCTCGTTTAGTTGAAGAGACACCTGCGCATCGACGAACCAGCCATGAACGCCGAGGCCTTCAGAGTCTATACAAGCCCGCATATGAGCATTCTGGAGAGGCTGGTCAACTTGGAAACGGAATCAACGACAAGCGGCACCTGTTCTGCATGTTCAGAACGACTTACCCGCATCTTGTGTACTTCGTAACTACGTTTGCTGCCTGGGAGTCGGCGTTTTAGGAGGAGCTGAAACTCGGGCTCCATGTCAATGATTTCCTTGAGGGTAAGCCGCGCCGAAGCGTAGAGACTATTGAACGAGAAGTCGCTTATTTTCCACTGCTCGACAGTAATGCAAAAGTTGTGTAGTTGGTTGTATGGGAGCAAAAAGACCTTCAACGGCCACACAACCAAAGGAGCCGCCAAAGGACGGTATTCCCCCGGCCCCAGTCTGTAACCAGGGGTAAACAAAAAGCGACGGCGTAAGGAACCTCGAATGACTCTCTTTCTGCGCACATTTTATCACATAAAGTGAGTCTAAGTTCAGAGATGTCGGGACAAATTAGGACCGCGGAGAAGTTCTGCAAAGGTCCGGATGATCATTTGCCCAGAAATGAAGCAGTCCAAAAGCAGATCCCACAGGCAAGCATACGCACGCATAAGCCTCCACTCACTATTCTTACCTGTTGACGTGCCCAAAAGTGATGGAGTAGAAAAAGTACTGCTCCTTTGTCTCGAGGTTCATGAACGAGTTGATGAAAAAGGATGATTCCCACATTCGCCGGCGGTCCATAGGGTCTAACGCCTTCGACCGACGTTCTCGCCTCAGCTGAAAAACATTCAAAGAAAGAAGAGCACTATCCGCCTTGTCCAGTGGAGCTTATCAATATTGCAGCAGCACAGCCAGTAGATCCGAGATTCCTGAATGGCCTTTGCTCCGGTTGTGTGATGCGGGAACCACGGGACCTCACGCGGTCAATTTCATCGAAGTCCTCATCGTCAAACTCAAACGTGCCTGAGCTCTCGCTGCTGCTGCTGGTGGTGCTAGTGCTGCTCTCCGAACTGCTGCTAGCTTCGCTGCTGCTGCTTTCGCTGGAGCTTCCGAATGTGGCTTCGTACTGCAGGCACGGCACTTCCGCATACAACACGCAGTCTGTGTCAATTCCATTTCGAATAGGAAATTCAAGACACTGACACTCCCGTCAAGTGCTGCTAGAAACACTCGCACAGGGGCAGCTCGAACGTGTTTGAAGCTTCCATCAGGAGGTCCGAAGCAGTATTGGGAGCTTTCGGAGCCTTTTAGCTACAAGCTACTTTCAGGCAGATCTCTTCTAACCTTTTGCCTTCCGATTTTCCTTCCGTAGGCGTCAAAGTCAAACAGTTGCACGCCTTTGGGTTCGTCCACAACCCCTTCGTCGTCATCTTCCGGCTCGCTTATTTTATCTCCAAGAATCTCCTCGTTTGCATTTCTCTCTGCTGCAACTCTCAGCTGCGAGACGTCTTCCCTGTCGTGATGCATGGTGGCCTACAGAGCCTGTTTCTGCCCCCCCAACGCTCTAGGGCGCATGCATGCTTGAAGTGCTGCGTACGCAGGTGTGTCTATGTAGACACTCAGCATCAAATGAAATAAAGTCAAGTTGTTGGTTTCTACTGAGTGAACGCCAGGGGATTAGGGTCATTAGAGATACGTCAACTGCTAACGCAAGAACAGTCGCGAGCCCATGCCGCATTTGCTGGCAGGTAGCCAAAACTGCGTTTGAGTTTCTCGTGGCCGCAACTCCGCTTGACAATTGCTCAATTCTATGAAGAAAATGTAAACTTAGTCGGAAAATCGGCCAACTAATTATAAAAGCTGGAGGTTAAAATATGGGAGCTGGAGGCTGCCGCGAGGCCCCCTGAAGTGCCACTGGGTTCGACGAGGCGGCTTCAGACAATCCTGTACACAAACGAATAGCCCCTATTGATCACACTTTGGTCAATACCATCATTATTTTCACTTGTTGTTACATTATTATAATTCCACAGAAGTTATATTTGTAAAGTCTGAAAGGAAGTGTACTGCGTGTTTTGTTTGCCGTAAGCGCGCCGGGGCAGTAACCAGTAACAGGCCTGTATCGTGTTTGCGCATTGTCTTAAATGGAAAGCGAACCCCATCCATACCTTCCCATGAAAACTATCTAATCTCTAGCTATTGCCCTGCATCACCAAATTGTAGCCATATTTATTATTTTGACTCGTAACATAGATGCCATTGGCTGCTTCTGCATAGAATCCCGAGCAAACGGTTGCCCCATTTGGTAGTGCCTGGCACTGCTCTCTACCACAATCAGGGCGTGCTCTGTCGTTTGAATAACGGAATACAAATTGAACTTATTGTTTTCTAGATAAGAAAATTTATTAAACTGCAACCTTATAATTAAGAATTTAACAGGCGCATGCTTACTTATCTTCTCAGATTTATACAGAGAAACGCTGGCCCATCGCTGGTCCGCCTGAAACAGGCTCTGTGCACTGGTACAAAACGAAACGTTCGCCACCGAGGCATCCTGGCAGAAGGAAGCGATGAAATAGAATATTAGAAACAAATAGAACCTGAAAAGTGTTTATAAGTAGATCTTATCTAACTGGCTTATTATGTTTTGTCTAGAGGCAATCGTCGCGCGTCACGCCCTCCACACCCAATGCCCCGACCCTGCCGAAAGGACAGCAAAGCCACTATCTGCCGTCATTCAGTGAGGAGCTTGGAAAACTAGGTGAGCGGAGTGTATACTTTATATGTATCGGCACAGGCAGCACGCAAGTAGCAGGCATGCAGCTTTTGGAATATGGGCTGACAACGCAAAACCATGGACATTCGGAACAAGAAGTGCGTTGTACTCTGTTATTCTTCATATGAGGCCTTAAAAAGAGTATGACACCTAAAATGCAGTAAAAATGACGACTGTTCTAAAGGCCATCTACTAGTGTATGCTGTTCAGTTGCGCTCGTTTGTCCGGCAGAATTGATCGTCTGCTCATCATCACTCGCTCATATCCTATTATATGATTCGTTTTGATACAACATGCAACCTTACATCTTCTACTAATCACACGTAAGCGTATAGCCTTTGTGTTGTTTCGTTACCAACAACCCGAACCGTCGGAATTTGCCTTCCAGCTTCTGTGAACCCTCCTCAACAACCATGCAAAAGAAAAGATAATGCAGCCCTATGATTAGATGTTGATGCCCTCCAACGGTTAGGAATAATACGGCAGTTCTTACTAGCTGTAGATGTATCTACAAAATAGTCGTAATAAACTCTGTGCAGGAAAGACAATAGAAACTGGCTTGCATTTGTACTTTGCTCAAGTGATATATTCTGCATGCTTCCCACAGGCTCTGTAGTGGTGAGGGACGGTCATATTCCTATAAGGTGGAGGGTCGCTGTCGTTATTGTATTTCTCCGGTGTGGTACTGCGTCTCCGTGGTGGCTTCTGCTGCCGAGAGAGCGGAGGCCACAAAGAATGTCCAGGTTGTACGCATGCCTGTATCAAGTAACCCCACTAAAGAAATCTACAGTGTCCTTTCTGGCTGTCGGCAGCAATTGCACAGTATCCTCCTGCAGCATGTAACAGCAACGATTTGTCTCATTATTCTCCCTTCCACCAAGTGCTTCGTACGACACAAGAGAGATTTGCGAAAGAAAAAAAGGTATGCAGCATCCCTACACCTGCGAGCTAAGTACGTATTTGGGGAGACCTCGGTGTGATTGAGCGAGGCCTTCTCAGCTCCATGCATGCATGCCTCTGTCGGCCTCAACAGAGAACTGCACGGTACACGCAGAAGGCAAACAACGAAATGCCAACTGCAACCGTCCATTCAGCAAGGTGGATGCGGGCCCACAAGGTTTCAAAGCACAGCGCCCGTTCAAGGGCGTCGGAAAGCGCTGCAAGCAGGGTCAGCGAGCGGAAGCTTTAGAGAAGGTGGAGTCTGAGTCTCACCTGCCATCTTGCGCACATTCGATTCAATGTATACATTTTTTGACTCGAGCTCTCGTGTTAAGGCTGCAATAATGCCTAGTAAACTGGCGACATCTATGTTTCCTGATGCTTCAACCATGAAGTATTGTGAGCTTGGCGACACACGCCTTTTTACCAGTTCACCCACCACGTCGTAGACTGTACTGCTGTTTCTCGAACGTATTCGAGATGGCTGTCGTCGTGTCCTGTTGTTCATCATTGGCTCGTGCAGTTTCACAACCAGCTCGCTCTGGTGCAAATTTTTCGTTGTTCCCTCCACAACCCCTGACACATCGGCGGTCTGCGGGAGCTGAAAATACGAGGGGTAAATGGATACTGGGAGCCTGAAGAATTGCGATGTACTGCAAAAATGGAACTCGCCTGATCCGCGGTGAGCGGTTCTGTCGGCCATGTTTAAAATTCCCTCCAGATTGAAAGATGACAAATGTTTACAGTTTGTTTACTGCTTCGAAATAGAAACCTTAAGCAAACTGTTGCGTTTCAGAAGCGAAGTTGCGGTTTCCTGCAGGAGTTTGTTGTTTGTCTGATAATGCTCCCTCACCCTCCGCTGTATGGACACACGCCGAGTAAGGCCAACACGCAAGCTGAGTGACCTCCAGTGGTTGTGCCGTGGTGGTGCCTACCTTTTTGCAGGAATGTCGCTGCAAAAGACACTATATTCACCAGAGAAGCCTACGTTACGAATAATCTAATGCTCAATTTTAACTGCTTTCGATTTGTTTTCACATGGCGTTCCCTAAAAAGGGATTGTAGTGCTCAGCAGCCAGTACAGGTCAAACTGGGGACAAGAGCAACTTCAAGCCATTAGTGCCAGCTTGCCATAGCACAAATGTTGACCTCAAGATAGTCACATGCACACCAAGAAATCGGATGAACCCGCAGGTCATTATACAATATTTTCATTTTCGGTAATATGCTCCGACGTACATTCCACAACACCCTGTGCAGTCCCCTACCTTTTTAGGGAGGGAAGCGCACAATGTCTTGCGTCTTCTCACAGCTGTTTGAAGTGTCTAACGGCTCAGAAGCTCAAAAAGTGCATCTACGTGTTCCTTTAAAACAGCCCTTCTCTCTTTCACAGTCCGATTAAGTTCCTCCATCTTCTTCGTTCCTTCTGCAACCACAGACAGCAAGCGCACCCCAATCAGCACAAGAAAATGCCGCCAATTGCACTCAAAGTTGCAGATGCTGCAACCTATGTTAGGCATACCGTCTCGGTCGACTTCAGCTCGTTTCGTGCGACGCATTCGGATCAGTCCACCTATGGTGCCCTGAGGTGGCACAAGAGCAGATGCAGTACAACTGGGGAAGTGGTGTCTGTGCATCTGTCTGGTGAGTCTTCTAAACAGTGTATAACCAAGAAAAGCATTTAAGATCTGCTCCTGTCCGACTTACAACAAAAAATATTGGGTGGATAGCCGCGGCAAGACCTGTGAAAAGGCCTGTGAGCATCATTTGTATATATTCGCTGCGGATCTCCTTGGGTGTCTGGTGGCGGAACATCGCGAGCTGTGCTACACATCGCAGCAAGTCTCAAAAAATACGTCAACCTCCATGATAGGTTTTATATATTACCTATATTTTACAGGAATAGAGCTTAAAAGTCCTCAATAAAGAGGTAATCAGCTAGAGGCGGCTGGTATCGGCGTTATTCAGGTCCATGCAGCTTACACGAGCCTTCTCCTGTCTTAGCTGCTCAATATGTTGCGCCAAGTCGCGAATGGCTGCCACTTTGGCATTCGCTTCTGCATGTTCAGGGAAGGCCTCTGCGAGACGCTGCAGCCCAAGCAAAGAAAAATATATTTGTGCACTAGTCGCCACGACAGAAGGCAGCACTACAGCACCCAGTCCAGAAACGCCATGTTCTTAACTCCAGGCGACTGCCGGGGCCTTAGCAAGCAAAGAATCTTGCCGTTTACATCCAGTGAAACGCAACACACACATTCTCAACTGCGTGCAGCATTTTGCAACCAGTGGATTCTGTCTGCTATGTCGGTGCAGTAACAGCCTGTGGCAGTGCAACCAACCCTACAGTCTCCAATATGTAGAGAGAGCCGGAATCTGCGCTTCTCTTAACTGCCTCTAAAGCAGATAGTACTTCGTCCTTGGACGTACGAGGCTGCGTAGACACCCTCAAGTCGTGGGGTAAGGTGGGGGTGTCTGTGTCCTTTTCTGAAGCAGAAAACGAATCATTCGCTGCAGCACCAGTAGCAGAACTGAGCTGGCGCGAAATCTGGATACTCAGTTGTTGTAGAGATACACCGGAAGTGCAGCTGAAGGAGATTCCGCTGCAGGGCAAGGCAGGCAGCCCATCGGCTGGTTTCTTGTTTCGGGTAAGAAATGCAGCAGTGCAACGTTTAAATTCCCTCGATGTTTCATACGAACTGCGACCTAGATTCCGTAAAGGTCCAGCAAGAATTCGCCTCGTCGTCGTGGAGGTGAGCCGTGTTGGTGACAATGCAGGAGCGGAAGAAGACACAAACGGACCCATGAGCAAAATATGTGGGAGCGACATCAAATATAGCCCTTCCTCCTTCCTGATACAACGCTGATTATAACGACTTACTAGAGAATTTGGTTTAAATGAAACATTCGACATGTAAACCGATCCGGCTAACGGAGGGTGGTGACTAATGCAAGATCGGCTGCAATGAATTCATGGGTGTGTTGTCTTCTACTGGCTCATAAATTGGAAACATATATTCCTTCAAAATTCACTTCTGTGGAGTTGCAGCAGCAGCGCGTGAATGACCTTGGCCGGGTTCAGTGCACGAGGCCCCCCAAAGGAGCCCTAAGGGCCCCCCAGACCCAGTTTGACACAGGTATTAAAGAATATCAAGAGTGTGTTTATAGTTCACTTCCAAGGACTTCTACTGTTGATTTAGGATTACCTGGTCGTAAGCTTGTCATGGAGGCGGCCTCGAAGCACAGCAAATCTCTGCAGTTGCCTTCAGCCGTTCTGTGACAGAGTCACAGTTGATATTGTTACGTCGTGAGGTTGATATGATTGCCTATCTTTGTGGTGACTTGTTTTAATTCACCATGAGAAGTGAGAGGAATTCGTATTTCACTTCTCTTCGCCTTCACTGCAGCTGACAACTCGCGTAAACGACAAATTACTCTCTACCTCTTCAACTAGTGTGCTGAGACGATGGGGGAATCGGCGTTGTTGAGTCAAGTATGTAATTTCGTTGAGCACCTGCATTTTCATGGGATTTAGTAGCGCAAGTTGTACCGGAGTTCTTAATCCCGTGCCAGAGCAGCTGTTTGCGGCAGAAAAATCTGCAGAGGCCCGCCACCCCCCTCGCGCCCCCATTCAGATGGCAAACAATCGGGAGCAGGCCCCTTACACGGCAGTTTGTGACAGCGACATATCTCAGCATGCGTCTTCTGGGCTTGAATTGAGCTGCAATATATCACAGCCGGGCCCTTCCAATGCAGACCCAACGGCTGTGCATCAGCCGCAGTCCTCACGGCAAGTGTATAGACAACTTTTTTTTGACTGTAAGTTACACGTGGTGCTTCAGAAGCTTCTGAGCAGGAACAGAACTGGAGGGGTTGCACCAGATGACGCTCCACCTGAGACGCGCGACTCCGCAGAACTGCAGCTCACAGACACAGAAGTGGCACGCCTGATGCGACAGCACCTCAACATTCTGATTTCCAGTCAAAGTGCAACGGAAGCGGAAGTGATAAAGGCAGCCAAGACTCTGGAGCAACGATTTGCTCAGCCTGCAGCAGACGCGTCGCAGTCTAGAACGATCGACGTGGAGATAAGGACAGATGCACGACCGGATTGGGATTCGTTTCGCCCCCGTTCATCTATTCATGCAGAAGGAGGGATACGAAGGGAATCACAAGCTGATAGTATGCGGCCAGCAAACTGTCAGATTAGCGAAACTGACTGCACACAGGAGAGCCAAGCCAGCTACCTAGAGCACAATATCACTGGGCTGCCTCTCTCACAAACCCAAGACGCACCAACCGCAGAGCAAGCGAGTAACTCCGAGTCACCACAGGGGCTCTTAGACAGCGCTTTTTTCAGTGCTGTTGGGGAAGAAGTGCACTATGCAGCCCCCGCCGAAGGTGGTGAGAATCCAAGGAAAAAGCTGTGCCGGAAAGTACTCCACAGGGTTTAGGGCTTCGGGTTTTAGGGTTTGGCTTCGCGAGGGAACCCCTACTTCAGTTTCAATGCGAGCAGCACTGTAGGAACGTGGCGGCAACGGTACAGTTTCCTATTTGGCGTTAAACGGCACCGCAATTTACCCCTTTTATCTTCTTTAATCACATTTTATATTGTTTCATACCATTTTAGCTATTTCGCCTCTGCGGGATTTTGAAGGCGTTGTCTGTTTGTGGCATTTCCTGATTTCATGGGGAAGTATACAAAGGGATTTGTGGGGGTTGCACTTGTCGTGGGTTGTGGTTCGCGCAAACCAACGTTGCATGCTTTCCCCTTTACATGACTACGTATTGTTTCGCCGTACACCGTACACTTGGCAGTTGTGCATTATAGCCTGCAGCAGCTTCAATTATCCTGCAGATTGTCAGCTTGCTGCTCTATGTAGCCATGGTGAACTACGAGGCAGAATTCACTCATGTGGGGTCTAAGTTGCGAATGTGGCTTTAGGATTGTGGACGTGTGTTGCCAAGACTTCCAGGTGCATGAACCGTATAGATAATATGTATCTGTCACAATAGTATACACACATACGCATCTATGCAGAGTGTGGTGCATACAGAGCTGTAGAGACTGTAGTAGTATTATTAGGAAGGCTTTGAGGAAAGGCTTCAAGACAGACTTAGTTCGCTTGTTCTTACTTACATATGGATGAACAGTATAGTGTCTGCCAACAGCTTTCGTGCATTTGCGCATACATACTGTGTGTTGTGCATAGAGACTCTAGGAGGGCGGGTGTGTGGAGTCGCCTCAAAACAAACTTAGTTCGCTTTTTGTGACTCGGCGTTTACTTCAAAGCTGTTGTTTAAATTCGTTCATCATTACGGTTACAATCAGGGAGCGACCGAGCGGCACTGGGTACGAACGCCAGGGGGTGTACGCAGGGCAGTGACAGTGTGGCGAAAACTACGGTGCACAACTTCGACTAATAGTTGCAGGTGCTACTGCTGTTTGAGAAAACAATTGAATTGCACATCTATTTGACAAGCCTTACCACGTCGATTGCTGATGTGACCGGCAAGAGCGGCTCGTGCGGCATGGACAGGCCGCAGCCCCTTTGTTAATCCTTCGAGACAAATGCATGGGTGGTGTACTACAACGAGTTCTTCGGAGACAAAAAAGGCTTTTAAGAGGTACTTTTTGCTGGAGAGTTGGAGGCAGGAGGGAGAGCTCTCATGTATTCCGGGCACAGCGGCGATCAGCTGAACACCTCCTGCTACTGGCAGCTGAGCTGGCCAGTAAATGCAAAAGAAGTACAGAAAGGGTTAATTTGCTTAGCTCCGTCAACTGCTACTAGATTGATTATTCCAAGTGGAACGAACTAAAGCAGTCTGCTCGGGCGGCATCCGAACGAGCTGAGGGAGGTGACCTTCGGGGGGTTCAGCCTTCGATCTGCAACCGCGATCAGATTGACACGCCTAGAGAAGGCAGACTTCAGAAAGCCCGGCAAAATGGATCTTCAGAGACCTTCGCTGTTCTCAGGTCAACAAGTATTTTCCCTCTGTGTACCATTCAGCATCAAACAGCAGCAGCAGCAACTGGAGCACTTCTCCCGTGAGAAGTATTTCAAAAGACAAACCCTCAACTACACAACATCAGGCAGACAAGACCGGCAGAAACCTCCACCTTTAGAGCTCACGGAACAGGTCAGTGACCCAAGATGTTTCTTGTCCTGAAGTTACAGTGAACAGTACAGCCACTGAAAGATGAAGATCGACGGACAGCGGCGACGCACGCAGATGGGTGTCTGAAGTTGCACTTAGGAATGGACGCTACTCAGTCATAGAGGTCAGGAGGACCGAGAGGATCACCACCTTACTCACGATGAAAGGAGATGTGCAAAAGAAGCCGCGCGCCGATCATACCGGTGAATGCCTCCTTTTACAGTTGTGGTGCCTTGCATGAAACTGGAATTTTCGAATTGTTGTGGTTCTTTAGCTGTTCACGTGCGTACTGCCCAACGAGGCTTGTTCTGTCCGCTTGTCCCAGGCCTAAACAAGAACCTGCATGGCTAAAGCATGACCGCCAAGCCTTGCGTTTCTTCGCTTTCTACCAAGAGCCTTTCAGCGGCAATGCAGTTGAGAACAGCAGACGGCGTTTCTGCATCATTTCCTTTTATCTAGAGGACGGAACTCTAAGCGTGTACGAGTCAACGACGGACTACGGTGAAACGCGACAGGGGCCTATTTTGAAACGGCACAAGATGCCGCGAGCAGACGGCAGCGGTTTTGTCACCTTCACAGATTTAAAGGTTGGCTGAAGGAACTGGGAGGGTATTTATTCATTTAGAACAGTGGGAGCTGAGAGGACAGTGGTGTGTGCAAGGCGTTCAATGCCTACGGAGGAGGGTGTAAGGCTTCCGGGCTAGGAGTGAGGGTTTAGCACTGAATGTACGCTGGTGTTGCCCATGCAGCTCGGTGCTGAACTGGAGCTATACGGTCGCGTCTTCTTGATTCTAGAGTGCGATGAATTCACCCGGTGGTTCTGTAAAAATGCAGGTAAAGGAAACATCAACCCTTTTATTCTCTGTGGGTATATTGAATTGACTACTTGCCTACTTATGGAATCCTCAGCAGTCTTATCCACTTATGTACGTTTCTTGTACGCTTGCGTTTGGTGAGAATCAATCAAAACTGAGCTAAATATGAATATTTTGTATCATCTGCAACTCGTCATAGGGCATGATATTGGAGACGCTGTGGAGCTGCCTGATGATACTTTCTTTCGGGCGTTTGTGATGAAACAAAGACCCAATTGTACACCGCCGCCAGCAGTTCTAAGCGAAATCAGAGCTGCGAGAGCTTTCGCAGAGGCATGCGGAGGCAACACCTGTTCCAACAAGCTGCTTGATCAGTACTTGCAGAACGACCGGTCTGATGCTCGAACCAGCAAGCGATTGCATATAACCACCTAACCGTTCCCCTTCCACTACAGGACTTTGCTAATGATAACGGGGCAGTTAGGAGGGCGCAGCTCGTTACGGGAAAACAGATCAATTGCCGTGTGTGCCTCTTCTGTGCTGCAGCAAAGTCTTGGTGTTTCACTGCTACTGGGAAAACCCGCAAAATTTTGGGTGCCGGACCTACTACAAACTGCACTATTTCCTCAGTGGTCAGTAGCCAATAGAAAGGAAATGGTAATGCTAATGGTTTTGTGGTGGCTAGATGGTTCTGCGAATTAGTTGTTCCTTGCCATGTCTTACTTCAAATTATGGCGGCAAAGCAATGTCAATCAAGACGCAGGTGCTGTCATTACAAGGTTTATACAAGTCGCACGATTTTACGTTTGTCCCAGTGTTCCAGTATTTGTGTTGCTCCTGAGCGTTAGATTTAGATACCCACTGTGACTTCCTACAGACGATTCGGTGGAGATTAGAATCAGTCCGATTAAAAACTCTGGCTACGACAACTACTCAACTTTCCTAAGGTATCAATTCTTTCCAGGTGTCCCCTTCAATAGTCTCCTACAAAGTAGTAGGCCCCTAAGTTTTCCGCTTTCAATGCCCAAAACGCCTGTTCTCTTCTCTATGGAACTGTGTGCCAAGCAGTGTCCAACCAGTGTAATGCACATATATCTCCGACCGGCCAATAGTAAATACACGTAGTAGGCGGGCGAGCATTTTGACATCTCTGAGCTCTACAGAGTATGCACCTTCACAAATATTATGCTTGTGAGTGCATATTGAATTTGGCATGCTAGATTTTTGCACAGGAGGGGGAAATTGCCAAAAAAGCTCGGCGAGTTGAGGTGGTCTGACTGTCAGCTGAGTCGAAGCGAATTTTACACGTGAGCACAACCTTCCCGAGAACACACAAGGAATGAGCTTTACAGCGCATTACAATGTGCTTTTGATGACAGCTAGTACTGAACTGATGAAAGGCTTAAATCTCAGGCCAGAGGACTTCACTGTGGGAAAGCAGATAGACGTCTATGGCCGCCAGTTTCATATTTATGACTGCGACGAATTCACGCGACAATTCTACCGCGAGTACATGAACACGGAACAAGGCCAAGAAATCATACCGGAGGAGAAAATTGTAAGAAGCAATACATATCCTGATACTAGCCGTTGTTCTTACAAAAAGATTAGTCTACAATAAGCTAATGCGGCACGTGATATCATCTTTCCTGTTATGTGGGATTACTCGTATACAGGAAATCCCCCCAGTCACCTGGCCTCCTCATGCCCTCGGCATAGGAACTGACGAGGACACACTTCAGTGTTGCACGCGTATAGTACGACTAAAAATCCAACACGCCTCGTGCCACCTCTCGCAACGCAGCTTGCGCATTCGCTTTCGTTACCTTTTCCCCCCTACCGCCAACGTCATCCTGTTGCTCAGCATGCAAAAATGGTTCGTACCATGCCGCGACAAATAAAAAATTACATGGTGAGACGAATGATTTCTTTTTGATTTCCAGACCCCTAAACGGCCCCATCCCAACGAGCGTGAGATTCTGTTTGGAGAAGATTTCATTCTCAACTTCAAGGCAAGCCAGCTGTCTAAAGCATAACCAGTTTTCAGCAGGGTTTTGGGAATGGAGAGGTAGCCGGCTGCTTTCCGTAGACAGTGAGCTTTTCAGGGCAATAGATCCTGGAAGATGTCCATTCACGAAATTTAAAATTTGGGTTTCATGTTTGTGGCTTCCCCATGCCTTGAACGTGGCCTATACTTCGACAAACCATGAAAACTGCAGGCGGAGTTAGTGAGCGCACGCAAAGAAGATGAAGGCAGGGAGTTCAGAATTTCGATTCGCGAGTTGACCGATAAAATTACCGTCTTTGAATATCAAAAACGCAATTCAGGCCACGTAGGGCGTCACGCGTTTGTACCAGCCCCTGAGAACACACGCGTAGAGAGTCTGTAGAATCAGGTGGACCAAAACCAACCTAAAATACATGCAGTGACCTCTGTTGAACTGAGGGGGTTGTGTGCATGCTTCTAGGCTGCTAGTGTCTGCTCTTGTGAGTTGTCAGTAGTTGACAGAGTGAATGCGATGCGGCTTGATTACAGGCTGGTGGCAAATTTTTTGAAGCCACCAACCTACAGAACCCACAAACAGCTAGGAAGTTCTCAGCCAGTGATTTCTTTGTTGGAGCTGAAGTTGTACTGAATGGTTACACATTCAGGATCATTGCAGCCGATGAGCGAACTATGAAGGTAAAGAGAGTTAACAGTCCCTGAGTACCGCAACACACGACACAAAGGCGATGAATGAAGCTGCCGGCCAAGGCACGTCGTAATGCGTTTAGCGTGACAAAGAAGTATATTTAGCTTGCCCGGACGTTGAGAACGCACTTCTGCCTGTTTTCTAATATTTTACTGTTTTAAGCATATGGAAGAACATGCAGATAAGTACCCCCGTGCAAGCCTACGAGGGGTTTGTGCCAAAGTGGCAGAAGAACTTCAAAAGATAAAGGTAAGAGGCACCTCTTGACTTGCCCATTCAGTAATGTTGGGCTGTGTCGCTGTTTCTGTTGCCTTTAGGCCAAACAGGTAGGTTAACATCAGATGCAAATGCGGGTTCCACTGTACTGCGAATGGCATGTGAATGCAGGTTCAATCAGGGGCTCTTGTGACGCTCGATTGCTTGAGGGAAAATCTGCGCGACTCGCTTTCCGTGAGTCGTTTAACCACCTATTTGGTGTGACGTCGTCAGTAGTACCCCGCAGCAGCCCGAATTAGATAGAAAGAAAGCGTTGGTAAGCAGTTCAAGCTGGGCTATGGTTTTGCAAGGTGAAGTTCTTGCCTTGTGTCCCTGGGAAACGTACAGGAGCATGAACTACTCACGCTGAGTAGAGCGGGGGCGGCGAAAACCGACGAAATGATATCCGTTAGTGCGGGCGGGCGCGTTCCTGAAGGCGGTTGCATCAACTTGGACTCCCTTCTGCAAGAACAGAACTGCACAGTGGCTTGTTAGTCGTGAGCGTAGAGACAGTCAAAGGCAACAGAAACAATTTGCAGTGGCAGCAGGGCCAATCGCATCAACTTCGTTGGAACAAAGTGAACACTAGCAAAAGCGGAAATTTACAGGGTTATGGTAAAACCCTTGACAAAATTGGCTGGTTAACCTCCCTTTGCTACCCTCCTGCATTGATACGCCTGCCTGAATCTACTTCCCCGCCCTGCACCTAAAAGAGAGTTGCTGAACTGTGCTTTCTGCCGCCTAAATTGCAGAAAACTTCTTTGTTTAAAGGAATAGCAGCTAATGCCCACCCGGCTTCTAATGGAGCTAATTTTCGCCAGTCGTAGGACATCACAACAGTGCCGTTAAAACCAAACAAGGAATATGCATACTCTCCCCTCCCATAGACCGGTGATACTGATTTATTGAAAGGCCCTTAAGCAAAAGCATGAATGCTAAGAAAACATGGGATTTTCAGGGGTGTGTATGTTGCCGGCTTCCACCCCGCGGTAACTGCAGAAGTCATCCGCAGATGGCATTTCATACAACAAACTGAGGGAATCATTTGGAAATGCTTCTACACTCTAGACTCAGCACCCTTTCCCCATGAACTCCTGTGCCGTACTTTACTTTAATACTGAGGGAATCTGGACTAGCACATGTTTAACAATATCGGTTTCATACCTCCCCCGCTTCATCTTCTGCATTCTCATAATAATGAAGTATAATTCAATAAATAATGCAATAGGCAGATGGATGGTCTGCGTGACTTGAGTTCATGCGTGCAATGATTCAACTACACGCAGGTGCCAATGAAAATGATGGACCAGATCGAGGCCAGACGTCAGCATCTTCATAGGCATGGCTCGCTGCCTTATTGTCCACTCTGTAATTGCTCAGAAAGGCTGTTCGAGTGGACCACGCATTCTTACAGCATAGACAAACTGATGTGTGCTCGGTTCAAGCGGTGTAAAACTCGCGCCTGTGCATTCGGCTGCCTGCGAACTTCGCCAACATACACTGCATGGTGAATTGGTGTTCACAAGTGTTTGCTCTCTAATGTATTGAAGAACCCTCTCATGAATGCTTATATCTAGTATGCAACTCTCCTATATATACACGCTTTTGCTCTCAAAACTTGAAATTGAGTGCTTACGCGTGGGTACGAGATGCTGACAGGCTCAGCGAGCCATCCAGCACACGCATACTCTAACAATAGACTATTTATTACTCAGAACACAAAAACCTTGCTGATTATAATAATGACTAATGTCTGTGGCTAATGTTGTTTGTTTTTGTTGGAGGCGCGTTGTTCCTCAGGGGCAGCGCGCGGTTGACTTAACCGCAGCAGTTGCAAGGAGACTCTCCTGACGAAAACGGAGGTTCGTGGAATCAAATCAACAGATGCGCCTTTAATTTGGCTTTCCTTCCGAAATTCAATTTATATTCAACTTCCGTATGTAGGAAATATTTCACTCTTTAGGCAGATCATACCTCCCGGCGCTGATGAGGCAAACGGTTCGGCAGCCCCACAAGAAATGGAGAACTTTGTACGATCTTAAGACTCCCTTCAACATAGACTCTAGTGAAGCTACAAAATATCCTTAATAATGACGCTATTAATATCTTTGCCCCGACATATCTGATTTCTCAATTTTCCGTAGTTTCTGAGGCTATCACCCAGGGTCGATGTAGTGCACGCGCACTACAATTGAGCGCATGTGGTAACCTTAAATGTCTAATTTCACGAGAGGGAAAAACAAGAAATATAAATACTTATATATTGGAACTTTTCAGATAGAAAAGAGGTCAAATGAGTTACGAGTGCACGCCCGCCTACACCCAGGGCTGACCGTGAGGCTAACGCAGTTGTCTTGCCTCAGACCCTCTCCGAGGGGAGGGAACCGGTCAATTCTATTATTCTGGGCTTTTCCTGGATAATATGGACACGAATATGTTTTAAGAGTGATTATTTCCTTATTCAAGTGGTATTAGCAGAGATTTGCTGAGTCTAGCTTATTGGTGCTGAGTGTGCAGCAGGTTGAGCTACTTAAGAGATACGTTGTAACAGCTGGGCCTGCTGTTCACTACAGTCGATGTACTAGCCTTTTCACTATATTGAAGCCTGCCCCAAGCTCCTGTACATGAATTCAAATCTGAGCCCTTCGTTCTGTTTCCCCTTGGACATGACGGCTATGTACTCCCTGCAAAACTCCCTTCTGGCGGCTGAAGCATCGTCTGGTTGAAGGGTCTGTCCACGACAGGAAGCATAGGCCACATGGAAGGCGGGGTGCTCAAAATGAGCTGAGCGTTCAGCGGTGGATTTTGGAGGGGAGGAAAGCAACATCAGCAGGTTCAGATATAATGCGCAGCCTTGTGCCTGTCCCCCCCGCAAGTGGGGAAGCAGGGCCGGTGGCTCTGGAATTGCCTCCCAAACCCATTCCGTTGCCTTTGATAGGCCAGCTAAACCCCTCAGCCTTTATCACCAATTTGTGGCTGAGCGTTCGTCTTTGTGCCCGTGGCTTTTCCCGTTCTGAGCTGCTGCTGATCGCGCGAAGCCTCCCCAAGTCGGAGCTGGGGCCCGGATCCTCTCAACCTGTTGTGTTCAGAATGCAGCGACCTGCATGCACTGCTCTATTGTCCCCCACGGGAACGCTTTCTATCATGGGGGGTATCACGAAAGAACAGGCGCTTTGGCAGGCCTACAGAGTGGCGTATAAGCTCAAGTACAGGGTCTGGTGGAAACCTGTGCTGCAGGTGCGCTTGGAGAACTCTGTCATGCATACACATGTATGAGTTGAAGTCCTCCATGCGTGGAGTTGCACCAAACGTTGAAACTTAACTGCTGTAGCAGACGCTTCTTTTTACTGGTGCTTTCTGCTCTAACCGTCTGCTTGCTTCAGAGGGAAGGCGAGTCCGATGCTGCAATTGTGGAGTACCTCTGCAACCCCAAAGTCGAGTTCAACCCAGAGGCAGCGTCTGTTTTGCAATTAGTCTGCCGCGTGGACTTGGGCGGATCTTTCCGCCCTGATCTCCACGCGGTGTTAGAGCACCCGCAACTGCGAACTGCAGCCATCGACACACGAGATGGCGTGGCAGTTCGGATCCCACAAATTCAAGAAAATCAAGAAACCTCGAACAACTTTTCTGGAGATGCGCCTGACGAGTTTGGTAAGGCGAGAGAAAAGGAACAGAGAAGAAAAAAGCCGTAAAAAAAAAAAAAAAAAAAAAAAAAAAAAA